TAATAAAATCTCTTTCAAGTTTTATTTAAGTAAAATCCATATTAAGTTTACCAATGGCATGTCAAATAACAATATCAGGAAGTTGAAATCCCAAACAAAAATGACTAATAAAATTAACTGAGTAAAAATGTGAAGGGTTTGGAGCAAATGAAGCAAAAAAAAAAAGAAATCAAATGCTTAGAAAGATGATAGTTATATTGAGACCGTTAATTCTTAATCAAATACATTTTAATGCTATATTCCTATCTAAACACTTTGTTCTGAGCTTTCAGCAGAGGAAAAACAACAATTTTGTAACAGAAAATGTTGTGGAAACTTGTTTAACAGCTATTAAATAAAGTTTAAACAATCATAGATATGTATATATGATGCATTAAATTTGCTTAATGTTTGTAATGGTATTTAACATCTAATGCATAAATTTCATACAAGAATAAGAATGACAGTCGAAAAAACAAAAAAAAAAAAAACTAAAATTACAAGGATACAATCATACAACCAAATGTTTATCACTGCCTTTGTCTATTAGATTAATAAGGGATAATACCTTATTTGACCCTTGAATTATTATAAATTTTCTAATGTAATACATAAACTAAAAAAACTTTAATTATGTATTTAAACTTTGTTTCCATATATTAAATTATCTCGACCCTTTAACACCGTTAAAATAATATTAATGTGATACTTAAACACTGACGAAAATAACAGGTAACTAGCATGTGACAGTGATATGATTACTATGTTATAGTGATTGAATTGCATTTATTATTTTTTAAAAAATAAAAACTTTTTTAAAAATTTTATTTTTAAAAAATAATAAGTGATAACCAAACCTCAAATTACATGACAATCATATATCATCTATGTCAATATTTAAATGCCATATCAATGTTACTTTTATGGTATTAAAGAGTTAAAGTCACATCCATGTTATTTTAAAGGTTTATAGCAAACTAATTAAATTTTTTTTGTTTAGATAACACATTAAGGGGCGTTTGGTCTGGGAAAATCCATTAATTTTTTCCTAAAATTTTATTATTAAGTATTTGATTCTAACGTTTGATTTAGGGTAATCTAAAATTGCAAATCACTTATAGATTTTTACTGTTAAAATTTTTTTATATTGCAATTAATGACGTTTGACATGAAAAATGCCTTAAATAATCATGTTCAACTTTTTTTAAGATTATTTAAGGTGTTTTTAACTAAAAAATACATTAAATAATCTTTTACAAAAAATTGAATAGGATTATTTATGGGTTTTCTAGCAAAAAATACTTTAAATAGTCCTCTAAAAAAATTATCAGCATTATTTAAAGTGTTTTTTTGGCAAAAAAATGCCTTAAATAATCCAAAAAAATAAGTAATAAAAAAATCCCCAAAAATAAATGCTAAAAGGAATGGTTGAACTAACAACCTTATGGTTAATAGCTATATGCTTTAACCAATTGAGCTATTCTAATTTTTTTATATTTTATATCTTAAATCTTATAAGAAATGAAGAAAATTATTTAAAGTATTTTTAGTAAAAAACATACCTTAAATAATACGATCTAAAAAATTGAAGAGGATTATTTAAAGCGTATTTTACCAAAAGCGTTTTAAATAATCCCCTTATAAAAGCATTAAAACGCTAGAAAGAGATGTCGAATTTACAACTTTATGATTAATAACCATATACTATAATCGACTGAACTACTCCAATTTTTTAATATTTTATCTTTTAAATCTTATAAGTAATGAAAAGAATTATTTAAGACGTTTTTAGTAAAAAAATCACCTTAAATAATACGGTCCAAAAAAATGAAGGATATTATTTAAGAAGTTTTTAGTAATCCCTTTTAAAAAAATATTAAAGATTATTTAAGGTATTTTTGATAAAAAAACACCTTAAATTATATCTTTTAAAAATTAAAGAGTATTATTTAAGGCATTTTTAATCAAAAAATATCTTAAATAATCCATTTTTAAAAAATATTAGAGATTATTTAAAGCATTTTTGGACCAAAAATACCTTAAATAATCTCTTTATATTTTTTAAATGATATTTTAAAGATACATTTGGACTAAAAATACCTTAAATAATCTCTTTTAAAAAAATAAAAAAGATTATTTAAGGTGTTTCTCAACCAACAATGTCTTAAATAATCCTCAATATTTTTTTATTGATGATATTTTATAAATAAAAGCAACAATCAAATAAAATATTTATCTTCTTTTGCTATCAAATGTATCATTTATCATTTAGGTATTTATTATTAATAAAAACTATTAAAAAGTTGTTATCATATATATTAAAGAGATTATGGTAATTATTCAAGAATTAATATATGTGAATTTTTTCCAGATAAATGAGTAAATTTGAACACAAGATGTTCTGAAAATTAAAAAAAAAAACTTCGAATATCACACTTTTTCGAAAATCACACTTTTCATAGAATCCAAAATTTCGCGAACCAAATAACCTCTTATAAAAATGTAATACTTCAAAGCCAAACGAGGCGTTATCCCATTAAAAATTTACCTTTCTTTCCATCATTGGGCTTTGTCTTTGTAGAAAAGAAAAATAAACAAAATCAAAATAGAATAATAAAAAAAAAGTAATCCCAGATAAACATGAATAAAATAAAAAATTTGCAAAATACTTGCCTTTCAATGCTAACAGAAAGTACAAAATGCCAGAGCTACTGGAATGGGATCGGATTCAAGAGAGAAAACAAGAGTGTGAGAGACAAAGAGAGGAATGGGTCATTTAGGTCTCCGAGAATAGGATCAGGACTAGAGTCGAAAATGAGATAACGTAAGGAGTGAGAGGGAAAGCGACAAAAATTTAGGTAATGTTTGATTTAAAAAATAAAATATTTTTGTTTTTATTTATCAAAAAAATAAAAAATATGAATGAAAACATATTTGATAATTAAAAATAAAATAAGTAAAAATATTAAAAATATATATGTATTTTTAATTATAAAAATAAGAGATTTTTTTTTTCACCAACAGGTGATTGGCTCAATTAGTTAAGGCTTGTTCTTTTCAACATGGGTTTGAGTCATGCCAATGAGCACTTGTTGGAATCACCTCGAATGCATTACTTGCAATCACATATCTTAAGCTGTCAGGTACAGTATATCTTATCTTGACTTGAGGATTAAGCTGTCATATTTAAATATTTTTTAATATCATTAATTAATAAATATATGTCATATTTATAATTAAATGACATTAATAGTAATATTATTAAATATTTTATTTATTTATTTTTATATTAAAAATAATTTTGATTTTTATTTATTAAATATATTTTTAAAAAACAAAAATAAAAATAAAATAAAACACATTTTTTAAAAACTAAGCGTAGCTCAACTTTAATTTTTAGCACTGTTTTGGGCCTTTAGGAATTAGGCCTTGTGTTTTTTAATTCAGCCTTGTAATATTTTTTTGGCCCAAAGCCCTTTAGTTTTATTTTTAAGGCTAAAATTAAAATTAAATAATAAAAATATATATTAAAATATAAATTCTCCAATAAATTAAACGAATTATCCTAATCATCATTCACCATAATCTCGGCGAAAGGGAGGCGTGAATCTTATGGGAGTTCAGTTTCAGTATTTAAGTTCACCGTGAGAACGACCGACGGAGTTAACACGACAAAAATTTTCGACTGTTCAGTTCAGCTAAAATCAAGACAAAACTTTCTTACTCGATTGAGATTTCAACTGTTCAGTTCAGTTCAAACACTGACAACTGCGCTAGTGTTTTGGAACAGAAGAAAATAAAGAGTAGTACCTTGACTGAAGAAAGAATAAGGGTAATAAGAATTGAAATGGATCATTTAATTTTTTTAATAATATATAATATTATAAATGTTTAAATTTAAATTTAAATTTTTTTAAATCGACTTAAATTGAATTTTATATTTAATTCATTAAATTTTAAATTTTTTATATATTATTTTAACATAATTTTTAATATATTTAAATAAATTTTTATATAAAACAATTATTTTTATTTACAAAAATTAATAAAAATATATAATTCGATTAGTTCTATTTTTTATTTTTTATTTTTCAATCAAATTCTTATCTAAATTTAATATATATTTAATATTTAATCTTAATTCAAAATAAATAAAATAAAATATAAATAGAATCAAATATTACGATTTTTTATACATTTTTTTATTTTTTTTATTTTTTTTTTCAACCTTAATCAACAAAGACGATGAGTTCATAAAGGCGCGTGGTATGTACTGAGAGGAGAAGCTACCAAAATTTACAGTCTGACATATTTTTTATACAAATCTGAAAGGAATCATCCATGGAGGTCAGAGGCCAATGCCCCTCAATCCTTAATCGGATGTAATTTGCTATTATACTTCTAATTTCATTGAATTTGCATTATATTTTTAAATGATATTAATTTTTAATAGAAATAGTGAAATGAACGGAATTTGATATTTGCATTAACATAATATTTCAAAAAAATATTAATATCATCAGCGAAATTAATACTGTAGAAATAAATTTAATACTATGTAATACCCTAATGACAAGTATTGTCCTAATAGCCATCTTTAACAAGACAAATGCAAACTGTTTAACATAGGAAAAGTTAAGGATAAACTTAAAAATTCATATATTTATATTTATTTATTTTGTATATATAAAATATAAAAACTATTATATTATAATTCATTTTTATATATTAAACACAAAAAATATTTTTTAACTTTTATAAAATTTATTATAAATTTTTTAAAATTTTAAATTATACTATTTTAATATCTTCGCATCATTTTACTATGATATTATTACGTGGTATTTAAAATTATAAGTTCTAAGATAAAGATGTTTAATTGGCTGGACAACAGGGAAGATACGTATCTTTGTGGGAGATGAAATGTCTTGGCAAATCTTGGTGCCCCAGAAAGAAAGTTGTATCCCTTTTTGGACATTACCATTAAGGAAACAGTTTTCTGTTTATGGCAGATGCTTAGTGATGGTTCAGAGTATTTAGACTTTTCCATAGAAACTTGAATCACTAGCCTTAAAAAATTTTACGCTAAAGGAAGGTGAGCCTGCTCTTTTGTTTACTTTCCAAAAATATGAACTCCACTCCTGGGAAGCATCGTTCTCTATGTAAAAATCTTGAGTTCGAATTTAGCTAATAATTCTTTTGTTAAGATCATTTTGAATGTGTGATTTATAACGATTATTCTTAAATTATCAGATACATCATATTTTATCTTAATTTAAAAAATTAACAAATCTATTTAGTTTCGAATTTTTTGTACCAAAAAAAGATCCCTCTTTGGACACTGAAGCCTGTTAGGGTTCTTTGTACGGAAAAAATCTCATTTGAGATTAGGCCCCATTCCCTTTCCACCTAATACGTTAAACACCCAAATTAGACCCTTGTCGTCTTCTTCTTCTTCAAGTGGTAGATTGTAACGTCTGATCTTATCAAACCATTCCCAAATAGCACTTTCACCCTCAACAGCTGGTATTTTTAGCTTGTGAAAATCCATCTTTGACTGTGATGGAGCCGGATCCGATTAACATGCAAGAGAATGCAAGTTGTCTACTTGATGAATCACAGGAACAAACATTTCATGCCACAGACAGCAAAACAAATACCAGACATGTTCGGTGGACTAGACAAGAAACAATTGTGCTCATACAAGCAAAGCTTGCCGTAGAGAACAGAGCACGATCAAGGAGTAGATCATTGTCGATCTTTGCATCAGACCAGAATGAGCCTAAGTGGGATTCAATTTCTTCCTATTGTAAACAGCATGGCTTTGGCCGAGAACCGGTTCAATGCCAGAAAAGATGGAGCAATCTTCTTAGTGATTTCAAGAAAATTAAAACTTGGGAGTTACAGATGGAGAAAGAGGCTGAATCATTCTGGTTGATGAGAAGTGATTTGAGAAGAGAAAGAAAATTGCCTAGTTTATATGATAGGGAAGTTTATGACATCTTGGATGGAAAGGGATTTGCTATGGCAGCAACTCCATTGGCACATGTTACAGCCATGACAGAAATAGATAACAGCAATAGAGGTCAAGCAGCAATAGCAGCAGCAGCAGCAGCAGAGGAAAAGCAGGAAAATGACGATGAAGAAGCTGAGGAGGAAATTGGGCAAGGAAATGAGAAGGAAACTATTGCAATGAGGAGTCCTGTGAAGACAGTTAATACTCCGTCACCTATTTCAGGTAACTAAAATTTAGTAATTCAAAGTTTCAAGTGTTTCAAGTCCTTGCTTAGGTGTGATTTGTATTTAAATATTATAACATTCCATTACGGTATCAAATATCCACTGCTGTTGAATGCCACCTACTTAAACCTGCTTTATCATTTTGATTTATGAAAGAACCAGGACCAAAGCAAATCCCTTATCGTCACTACTAAGAGCGTGGAACAACAAAGAATGAACTATTATTTTTTTTTCTATTCTGCAGGTGAAGCTAAGGAAAAGTGTCCAGGCTCAATATCTCGAACAGGATCTATGGTTCAGGAGGGACTGAAGCGGAGGCGTTTGTCAATAGATGGAAGTGAGGACAATAATTGGGCCAAGATTCTAAAAAGGAACAGTAATATCCTAAGTTCTCAGCTTGAAGCTCAAAACATAAACTACCAACTAGATAGGGACCAAAGAAAGGAGCAAGCTGATAACTTAGTGGCTGCCCTCAATAAGCTCACAGATGCTATGGTGAGGATTGCCAATAAGTTATAAGTGAAAACCAAGATAAGAGATCTTAGCTTCCTGCAACACAGTGAAGCAAATGTGAAAATGATTCCTGGGTTGGTGGCGCATGCGAAGCTTCATTATCTACAGCCAGCCTTTTAATTTTTCTTTCCAGATTACTTCCACAGTTTACGACTAAAATGAGGCACCAGGTAAGAACAGTTCAGTTCTTAAGCTTTTCTTTCATTATGAAAATCAGATGCAGTTCTCAAAATTTTGAAGATTCTGTTTCTATTGTAATGCCACATAATGAATTGCTAAACTTATAGTTTTCTTGTTTAATTTCTTCTGAATCCTTATGAACCTAGCAAAGAAAGTTTAAGGCTTTTAAGCTTCATTAGCAGTGTTAATCAATAGATAGCCATATCTTTCTGTTTAGAAACCTTGAGAGTTGTTAAGACTTTCTTGTATATATTCTTCCAGTCAAGTTGACAAAAATGAAAGGGAAAGTACAGAAATTTACCATCTTGTACTCACTAAATTATGCATCAAGCTTGAAGAAAAGCAAAAAGAAAACGAAAACATGTTATTGCACCATTCTCATATAATATGTTGACATCATCAAAAAACATGATTGATCGTTTAAAAAGTAACAAAATTTTGTACTCAGATAATTAAGCATGAAGCTTGAAGTCAAAAAAGGAAAACACTATGCCTATATTGCAGCATTCTGACACAATATGTAGACATCATGAAATCAACCATGATCAATCACTAAAGCTGAACAAAAATTTTGTTAACAAGTATCAGAAGTTAGATACAAGGACATCTAATATAGAATTAAATACACAGGCAAGCATGTAATACAATTAAGGGCATGCAATGAAAATCAGGGATTAGAGAAAGAGAAAACTGAAAAAATTTTCCTGACATTTCTTATCCAGAAGAAGTAAAACAAGACAAAGGGAAAATCTAACCTGTCCTCCCACCATGCAGAAGCAGACTCGACAAGTCTGGCAAAGTAGAACTGTGTAGTGATCGGCCCTCTCTTTCATATTTTCCACCCAACCTTATTCAGCACCCTTTCCACATCCGCCTCCGCATGAAGATATGCCCTTGTCACCTTAGATGGCCCAGGAAACAACTCACTGATCCTCTTTAACAGATCATAATAAATGTCATTGGTGCAAAGCTCAAAATTAATCAACCCTCAGCTAGTGAAGCAAGGTGTGAAATCATCCCATCTGCTTTACATTGTGGATAATGTATTAAAACATCTAAGCACACAACAGTACACAGTACCATACTTCCCATCTAAACTCTCCAAATCTTTCACTTCAAATTTTTGCATACTGGCGCAATATCACCATTAGCTACCGCTAACTGCTATTTCACCTGCATCATATAATTACACAGTTCAGGCTCGCAATTTGCAATCAACAGATTACATAAAGTCAGAAACATTCTTTGAACAATGCTTGATTTGAGTTATCAACTAAATATTCATTACTTAAAATTCCATTATCCGAACAATTCTTAGATAAGAGTATCTGGTAATCTAAAACATGAAACGGTGACAGACACAAACACGATATGATACGAAAATAAGACTCGAAGGTGAAGCTTAAAATTGCATTTCATGTTTTCATGTCAGACACAAATTGTGACATAATTTTCGTATAAAATATTATATGAATACATGAATTTTATTATTTTACAGGACAAGAATAAACAATCCCTGGGTCTGGCCAAACAAAAATTTCCGTTCACAAAGCTGTTATGACAGTGAATTAAAGATGCATATAAAACGGCTCATCAAACTAACCTGCTTCTCAGCCTCAGCCACCATGACGGCGGAAATATCGCTAGCCGAAACAACCGCCCCTTCTTTCGCTAAGGGAATCGCGAGACAGCCGGTTCCACACCCGACATCGCAAACGGTCACTCCTTTCAACGTGCCTTCGTCAGTCAACATTTTCATGGCATTTTCAACGGTCTTCGAGTGCCCTAGCCTAATATCAAGTTGGACCTTGTTCACATCATCACTCTCTCCATAAATCTTCTTCCATCTCTGGAAACCGGAATTGTTAAAGTAACTCCTAACGACTTCTTTGTCGCCGCCACCGGCTTCTTCTGCCAGTAGACGACGTCGGCGTTCGGGGTCAGAAGGAGAGAATGGCAGCTAGGGCGGCAACGGAACCTCCACTTATGAGAGCAACAGTGGTACCGTCCACCGCGGAGAGCTCGGTTATGAAGGCGGCAGTGGAGAGAGGGGGAATGGAGGTGCTTTTAAACGGCGTCGTTTTCCTGGAGTTGGCCTGGAAAGGAATGTGAGAAGATAGAGCCGCCGAGTACGCCATTTTTTTTTTTTAATTTTTGACTGAATTATTTATTTTTCTTTTTCCCTGATTTCCTCGATTTCTCTCTCCGGCCCGTGAGTAAAGGTTGGCTACGTGTCTACTGGGGAAGTGGTTGATGAAGATTTGATAATTTTTTTTATCTTGTTGATAGGATTAGAATAAAGCCGATCCGGCCGACCCACTAGATTTGAATGGAGTCCACTTGATTTAAGGTTCGAAAACTTTTATTGTAATGTTTAATAATTAAGTAATTTTTTTTTAATTTCAAGATAGAGATTGTTCAATTCCTTAAAATAAAGTTTTATAATTTAAAATAAATGATTATAAATTATATATTCGAGATAATTTTAATAAATAATTATCGATAAAATTTAAATTTAAAATTTTTTTATAATTATAAATTATATATTCAAAATAATCTTAATAAATAATTATCGATGAAATTTAAACTTAAAACTTTTTTATCAAAAAAAATAAATTTTAACCAATTAAACTAACTATTTATTGGTATAATCAAGTAATTTTATGTTTAATATTTCAGTAATCATTCTTTTAAAAATACTTTCAATAAGTATACGTTATTGAATATCCAAAAATAACACGTATGATATTATTAAAAATTATATAAATTTATTTAAAATAATAATGGTTATGCATATCAATGTTATTATTAAATTTTAAATTTATTAAATGTTATATTTTTAAAAAATTATATAAATTAATTTATTTAAGTTTGAAATTTAAAAAAATTCTTCCAAAATTATAAAAAAAGTTATATAAAGTATTTCAAATTTTAATAAGTATCTAATATTTTAATAATCAAATAAATATTTCACAGGTATAGTGAAAATTGTTTGGAATGATGTAATTTTTTTAATCAAATTTTGGCAAAATTTAAATAGATATGACTTGCCTAAAATAAAATGCTTAATACGAAATGAATACTTTTGTACGACATGTGATGTATATTTTTTATTATGTCATTATTATTATTTTGACAATTATATATATATATGAATTAAGTAAATATTTGAATCAAATTGTTTTTTTTTTTTTTATGTATGATAATTTATTAAATTTTTTTCTATATATATAAAAAAAAAAACAACTGCAGCGAAGCAAGGAAATCACCCTAATTATAAAAAAAAAAAAAAAAACTATACAAGTTTTTTTTTTTTTAGTAACTTCATATTGAATATTTTAGTAATTTATGTTGTTGAATATCTATAATAGTTAATGACAAATAAGTTAAATATTACTAAAAATTAGATGAAAATTATTTAAATTATATATTTATAAAGGTTCCTAATTGTACATAATAATATTATCAAGAAAGCTGCAAAGGATAACTGCAAATGTTATAAAAAAAAGTTACAAAAATTATCAAAATTATTTCAAATATTACAAAAATACAACAAACATTATAAAATACTATAAAAAATAGAAAAAAAGTTATAAAAAATGCTAAGAGATTAAAAAAAAAACTTACAAAGATTATAAAAATATTACAAATATAAAAATTATTATAAAGGCTACAAAAATGCTAACAAGATTATAAAAACATTACAAATATCACTACAAAAGTTATTAAAAAAATGCTATAAATATTAACGAAAATAGTAAAAAAAATATTACAAAAATGTTAAAAAAATTATAAAAATAATAAAAAAAATTATAAAAAAAAACACCATAAGAATTATAAAAAATGGTACAAATGTTATAACAAATACTACAAATATTATCAAAGAACAAAGTTTATTGAAAACACAACAAAATTTATCAAAAATAATAAAATGCTATAAAAATTATAAAATATTAAAATAGTTAAATATTAAAATATTAAAATAAATGCTACAAAAATTATAAAAAAAGGTATATTAATTTCCAAGATAAATTAAATTTAAATATTTTAAATATTTTATTGTAAATGCTACAAAAATTATAAAAAAAGAAAAATTAAAGGTATCTTAATTTCCATGAGAAATTAAATTTAAATATTTTTAAATATTTTATTGTTTTTAAGTTCAAAAAAAAAACTCCATTTGGAATTAAGCTAGGGCCCAACCCTCCGATTCGACGCAAACAAGATCCGATCAGATCCCTAAAAAACTAGAGATCAGCCAAGTGGCCCTTCAAGAAGCCCAGGTAGGCCGAATCAACACTAACGGTTCGGACTCTTGGATCCGGATCTGAAAACACCTTCAAACCAAAAGTAACGGTCGAGAAACTTGAGCCGAAGCAAGCCATTTCTTCACTACCAGTCTTCCACTAGATTAGTCCAGAAGTACGTCACAACCAAATTTGTTAACATCTCGACACTCTGTTTGGTCGCCGGTAAAATGCCTTCATATTTTCGTCCATTTCTCTGCCACCGTTCTGCCAGAAACCTTAGCGGTTACGTGCATAATTATTGTTGTTTTTGTTTGTTGTTGAAGGTGCCATGGCCAAGGTTAAAGAAGTAACGGCAATGGAAATTGACGATTCAAATTCAAACGTTTACGATCAGATCAACCGCAATTTCTCTATCAACTGTCAGATTTTTACATTTCTTTATCAACTTTTAACTTCAATTGCATCAATAATACTAATTTAATGGCGAGATTGTAGGTTATATCTCTTTTTTTTATTTATTTAAAATTTCATAAAAATTTGCCTTCCATATTCAGTTTTGCAGCTTCTTAAATCTGCTCAGATGCAACATGGATTACGACATGGAGATTATGCTCGTTACCGGTAAATTACAAAATTTTTTTAATTTTTAGAAAATTGTTGAAATGCATTCTCTTAAAAGGGTTTTATTTTTTAAAATTAGTGACATATTAAATGAAAAAAATTGGGGGGTGCAGGAGGTATTGCACTGCTCGTTTGAGGAGGTTGTATAAATCATTGAAGTTCACACATGGCCGCGGTAAATACGCCCGAAAAGCCATTTCTGAGTCCACGGTCAATGAAGTGAGGTCTGCCTCGTCAATTTTGCTGTAATAAATTTTTTTTACAATTCTGAACGGGGTATTCGTAATTCAATTTTAACCGAATTAACTGACTGAATCAATTTAATTCAATTAATCAGTCAATTAAATTTCGATTGATTATCCAAAATGATTTTAGTAAATTTTCGGTTTTCGGTAATTAGCCTATATATAAAATTATTTATTTCATTTCAAG